ATGGTTGGACGAATCCTCAGGGTGCTTCAATTTATAATTTTTTAATAATGACCCCTGATCATAAGGAATTTTTATATACCCTTCGTGATTTGTCTCATGTTAGTCATACGGTGGATTTACTCTTTAATAAGATTGAAAAAATTTTAATTAAGATTGGGCCCGGAAAATTTATTGGAGTAATTTCTGATAATGCCTCAGCTATTGCTGCTGCACATAGGCAGATTAATCAAAAATATCCTTCTATTATCAATCTTCGTTGTATTGTTCATTTTGTTAATCTTATTAGTCATGATATTTTAAAATGTAAATTACCAGCACGTATTTTAAAATATTGCAATAAGATATGCCGCTTTTTTAAAACTAGACATTTAGCTGGAAGTTATCTAAAACGATATATAGATGAATTGAATATTAGCGAAGGTGGATTAAAGCTTTTTATAGAAACTAGATGGACATCTGCATATAAAACGGTTAATTCTGTGTTTAGACTTAAACTTGTATTAGAAAAGGTGATTTTTAATTTATTAATTAGTATAATTGATTTTACGAATATTGCAAAGTGTAAATTTTTTTTGTTTTGCGGCACACATTCTTATATAATATACTATAGTGTTAACACTAATATTTTGAATAATTTTAAGGTTTTAAACGATCATCCTGATGCTATTACCAACCAAGATGTATGAATAATTTTAAAGTCTCGAGGATTCTTTCATGACGTGGAACAAATATCCAAAATTTTTGCTCCAATTAAAGCTACAATTTTGCGATTAGAAAGAGCGGATTGTACAATGGCAAATTGTTTTATTCAATTAGTTTGTTTAATTGCAACTATTTCTTATATACCAAAAGAAAGAGATACGATTGCATTTCAAAATTAATGCATAGAAATTGTTAACAATCGTTGAAATGAACTTAAAGCAGAACCATATATTTTAGCATATATGCTGCATCCTGAATATCAAGGTATATATATATATTATTCTTTAACATTTTTAGTATATTTATATTTGTATGTTTAATAATTGAATTTTTTTTTTA